GAATATGACCTGGACCTGGACCCCGATGTATAGCAAGGAGATCGTTTCGATGATCCTCACATCGCTTTCCTGGAGCACTCCGAATCTAGAACATAGGCGGGTGTAGCAGCGGCGGGAAATGCATGTTGAAATCAAAGAGGAAGGAGCCAGCGCGGGGGCAGCTCTGCTGCGCAGCCCAGTGCAGCACATATCCTTGCGAACGCGTCAGCTTGTCATTTCTCTGCCTCCCTGGGATGAAGCCCCTCTGGATGGGGCCGCAGAATACTCGGCAGACGTAGGGCATCGAATAATACAGTGCTTTGGAGATCAAATGACTGTCGGAGCTGGCAAGGACGAGGGGCCTGGTGCACGACGGAGTTCTCGAAACACTTTGGGAGTCGTACTCACCCTTGGCCAAGGAAGTCCTACGAGCCTCGTTAAAGTTTGGGTCCATCAAGTCACCACTGGGGAGTGCTCGATAAACGCGGTCTAGGACATGATCAACTTCGTTTCCAGCGTCGCCGTAGGCACTGCAAGGGATCCCGTCGGGCCCGGGGAAGGCATGTTTGGCCTGCAGGACAAGCTTGTCAATCCCAGGACGCTCGAGCACCCTGTTGACAAGCTGCAGCGGCGGCGGGGGGAAAGGGCGCAGCTGGTCGCAAGCGCTCGTAGGACACTCCCATACCCATACTGGGCAAGATAACTGGATGCGTCTTCAGTGTCGTTGATCTGCTTTCCAATAGGGTCTGCTACCGCTGTTCGACGAATGACCCTCCCAAATGACCTCCACGCCGCAACGTACTGAGCGAACCGAAGCAGCAGAAGCTTCCTGTGTTAATCCGGGACATCACTGGCCTCGACCTCAAAGCCTCTGGCATGCAAACGCTGGCGGCTGGAATCGGAGAGGTGTGCGTGGAATGCGCGGACATCCGTATACATGTAGATCTTGGCACATCTAAGAACATTCAGCTTCGGGCAAGATGGACCCTCACGGCGGGCGATGGACGTATTCCCAGCTACATGCGCTCTCACCGCAGCTATCGACCAAGCAATGTACTCTGGGAGTGGAGCTGCTCCTCGCACTTCCAACCTCTTCTTGAGGGTCTGCGCGGCAGCGTGAATCAGGTCTTTGAATTCTGCCAGGGACGCCCAAGGGTTTTCATGATAATGATCCATGCTTATCCAGAAGCTCTTTCGAAATATCGGGGTGGTCGGGACGCTTGGAAGTCCATGCGGGAACCTTAGGAGGGCGTCGAGGTCCAGCATAGCGCTGCATAACACATGTGGTAACATGAACAGGCGGTTCTTTCCTGCAGAAGGGGCTACCAATAATCATGCTGTGGGGGGGTGGCTGGTCGAAGAGCTTGGCGGTGTAGGCATGGGTCCAGATTCTATCCAGACGGCCTGCCGAGATAATTCGCCCCTCTCGAACAACTCTGTGTGTGGCTAACGGATGTTTCACTTCCTCGAAGGACGAGCAATCCCGAGAGAACTGTGCACCAAAATCCCTTGAAAGGTAAACGGTTTGACCCGACATCTGCAAACTGTCCTCACGGTAGGCAGGGGATTCCCGGTCACCACGACGAAATGTGATGACCTCCTCGGCCGAATTTATGGAGCGACGGAGTCGCCACAAGAGTTGCATGGATATTGGCAAAGATCAACGAACCACGCTTATTCTTCGTCGAGAGAGTCGGTATCCTCCCTCGTAGAAGGATGGTATGTGCACCTTCTGCAAATTATGTGAACATTTGGACAGAGACAAAAATAGCAAAGCAACCTGCAGGGGTATGCAAGAACGGGAAGAACGCGACGAAGCCCCCGAGTCCCAACGACGAAGCAGCCTTACAGGTCAATTTCATGTCATGCTGAGATTCCCGAGACCCCTGAACACTAACCACGCTCTCTTGGGTAAGGAAGACACCGACGGGATGTTCCATGTGTCAGGGTGGGGGGGTCGGACCATACAGTGCCGAACATGAAGCACGCATGTCAAGAACCAAACGAGAACTTCCCTCCGAGCTCGAACGGAACCGACTGAAAAAAGGCGCGAGGCACAAGAGAGGCCACCAGGAGCGGAATTGGAAGCGCTGGCTGAGCAAGGGGAGGGCGAGGAAGAGGACTCTGAGTCACTGCACGACGATGTTTGGAAAACCAACTCGCATGCTACTGGAAGACGGCCCAGCAAGCATGCTCCCCTGATGCAGTCTGGGATTGCCATCCCTTTGGATGTCTGAAACATGCAATTGTTGAAACACCTATTGAGCAGCAGCAAGGGCAATCGTGCACATGGTGTCTGCCTTCTCGCCGCCAGTCCTGCACCAGCTCAGCACATCGTAGTCAGGTTCGAAAGTCCACTGCTCTAGAACCTGGGACTTGAGAAGGATGAGCTGCTGCGAATCCCGTTGCACCCGAACTACAAGTTCTGCACCTGCAGTTCGTGAGCACATCTGCCAGAGCTGCCCGAAGACGCGCTGCCGAGCACAAACAGCGGTGGGAGCGTCGAACAGGGGACGTGAGGGAATGGTGGAATTGTACTCGCGATCATGCCAGTGAAGCCCTAGAGGAGGATGAGAACGTAGGAGGAGGATGAGGAAGACAAAGTAGGATGAGGAGAAAGTCGGAGGAGGAGGAGGAGGAGGAGGAGGAGGAGGAGAGAAGAGGAGAGGAGAGGGCGTCGACGATGGCGGTCGGCGGCTGGCGCGCGTCAGGGGGGGGGGGGGGGGGAAGGCGTGGGCCGCAGATGAGACCGGGCGACGGACGGGCAGCGGCACGCGGAGAGCAGAGGGCGGAAGGGGACCTGTGTGCGAGGCGGGGATGTGTCCGCATCCACCGCCCGGAGAGTGTGCCACCCCCTCGGGAGGCCCAGGTGGACTCCATAGCCGCCGCCTGCCGAAGCCCCCAAAGCTCGATGCTCCAAGCGGCGGCGATGCATAGATCCCCGCCTAGGATAAAGTCGGGCGTGTCCATCTACAGGAGGGATGTCCAAAAATAGTCCAAACGTAATCTGGGGACGATTTCCCCAAAGCAAATTTTAATACTGTTTTGAATATGACGATGCTATTTTGGACCAGCACGGCTGCAGACAGCAACACGCCATCACAAGCTGTTTATCAAGTGTGGCTTGCTACGCTCCTCCTCGACCAGGCGCCTGTCGCGCCGCCGTCGACCAGCAAGCAAACATAGCCTTACTCAGGCTGATCATGAAATCACTGGGCCGAACCTTCGGCACAAACCGCACTCACACTGCCGCCTTCAGCGACAGTTCACTCCTGCCCTCCAGGATAACGAACCCGCACCGATCCATGTAGAAATCAATCGTGTCGCCGGCCAGGTGCTTGGTCATCATGTCCGCTGTGTTGAGGTCGCCAGGCACCTTGACCAGCCTCGCCTTCTTCTCGTGGAATACCGTCTGTACCCACAAGTACTGCGCATGTAGATGGCGCACCTTCCCCGCGCCAAGCCGCAGCGCCATGCCGCGCCGGGCCGTCGCATCAGTCTCGATCACCAAATCCTTCTTCATGCCGAAGTCCTCACACATGCTTTGGGCTCCCAGTCCAACACTCGTCCCGCGCACGATCGCGTAGAACTCCGACTCCCCGCTCGACAGCGCTATCACCGACTGGGTGTTGGCCGTCGCCTTCAGCAAGTGAGCTCCGTGGTACAGCGCAGTGCCCGTGGTGCTCTTCCTCGTCAGTACACAACCTGCATGGTCGGAGTCACACGCCACCTTCAGGTAGTCGGGCTCCACCTGCAGAACGAACTGCTGCACGATCCTTGGTCGCCGCATCAGGTAGCGCCCGATTCGCTTCACCATCTCCATGGCTGTCTGTGTCGGCTTGCTCATCCACCTTGCTGCCTCCTTCGCCGCAAAGAGTAAATCGATCCTGTCCATCGCCAGGTAGTTAATCCTCACGCAGACGCTCCTGAACAACGACGATGCCTCGGCGGTCCCGAGGCCAGCCTAACTCTCCAGCTCCTCCGCGGCCCTCTTGATACCAAGCGACGTCGCCGACTTGCTGCCCTTGCCTGGCTCGAGCTTCAGCTGCGACAAAATGATCTCGACATGGCGAGCCTCGGCCACCCACTGCAAACACGGAGCCCCGTCCTGCACCTCGGTTAGCCAGCCGATCCGGTTGAGCAGCGCGATCTCCTTCTCATAGTTCTCGCCCCAGCCAAGCACTCCACGTTCTTCACGTCGGTCCCCTCGTCCATGCAGTCCGCGATCTCTCCGCGATCCTCCTCGGTCAGCGCCTCCTCCTGATCCTGGCAGTACTCTAGCGCCTCCTTGACGCCACTCATGATCCCTTCCAGGAAGTTGCCCAGCTTGAACGACCAGCTCGTCCACGCCTTCATGTCCGAGCGGAACACCGTTGGCTTTCCAATGCCCTTGACGCCGACAAACTGAACCTTCTGCTGCCTTGCCTCGCGATCCGCGATGACCGTTGCCTGCAGCGCCGTCATTGCCTCCAATTATTGCACTCGCTGCGTCTGCAACGTCGCCACAACGTCCCTCTGTCGCGTGAGCTCGTTCGTCAAGCCCTGAACCTGCTCGACCAGTTGCCTCAGCTGCTCCTCCGCCATTACATCTGCTTCCTGATGTCCTCACGCAGCTTCTTCGAGGCAACCTGTTGTAAGAACTGGCCCAGGTTCCCCCAGATGCGCTGCAGCCTTCGGATCCTGCGCACACTGCGCACAAGACATCGCCAGCGCCCACAAGCAGAACCCAGAACCAACCAATCCTCTTGGTCACCTCCGTCGCGACCGTCCTCTTGGTCACCTCCGTCGTGACCGCTATCGGGGCGCCGCGCGCCCGAGGGAGTGGGGCGATATGGATCGGTAGCGGGTGGAAGAGAAACCAGCTCCGCTACCATGACGATGCTATTTTGAACCAGCACGGCTGCAGACAGCAACACGCCGTCACAACCTGTTTATCAAGTATGTCTTGCTACAGAGTATCTTTGGAATATTGTTCTTTACATTTTTCGTCCCAAATCCGCCTGTAGGGGGACACGCCCGACCTAAGCTTGGAACAGTTTTCCTCTGCAAGCAACAATAAGGACCGCGCGGCGTCGCACGCGAGCCCGTGCGGGCGGCCGCCCGATTCCGCCAAGGGTTGTGCTCACTCGGAGTAGAGGAGCAGGCCGGCGATGAGGATGACCACGATGGCGAGGAACTCCAGGAAGCCCATGCCGATGAGCGTGTACGTGAACAGGTCTTCCTCCGAGGGCGAGGCTCGGACACATGCACCGGCCCTGGCCAGGCCCATCCCTGGCCCAGGATCGGTGCGCTCCCCGGCAGGATCAGCCAGCATCGACTTTTGAAATCGGAGCGGATCGGAAGGTGCCTCGGGTCGGGCCGCATCGGCACGGGGCCGGAAGCGAATCGGATCGGCCCCTCCAGGATGCACGGCAGCGCCATGGACGAACCCAATGGGCTCCACATCGGACCGTCGGCATATCGAAATCGAACCAGCTCTGGGGGTACAGAAAGGTACCAATATCCTTACTCCACAGACCTCTCCAGGGATGCACTCTGACCAGACTTTTGAGGCCAATCCAGCCGTGGCGGCAAGAGTACAGTAGTGGCATCGGAATCTCTTCCTCTGCTGAAGATCGGGCAGGCCAGAATCGGCATCGAATCGCACCGAAACTCGACCCTGCCTGGCCCAGCCTAGCATGCAAAGGCACCGCATCGACGTGGGCGTGCACTCTGGGCCGCCCGGCACCGCCCGCGAAGCGTCCCGCGCTCTGCACTGCGCAGCGCGCGCGGGCGTAGAAGAAGAAGAAGAAGAAGAAGAAGCAGAAGAAGAAGAAGCACATGAAGAAAACAAGCTGCCACGCTGTAGCCCAAAGAGTGCCCACAGAAGCCACCGAGAGGCCTCCTCAGTCTCGCTCGCAACGAGCACGCCAACAGAGCAGCAGTGATGCAAGACGGGCCGGCGGAATGAGAGAGGCGATTAGATGACAAAACGGACAATCGATTCGGCACACCCAACACGGAGTTCATGCCCCATGCTATATTGCGGCACGTAGAGATACTGGCGATTTGCGCCCTAAGAGCAACGAACGCTTCGACTCGGCGCACCCCTCACGCACTTCGTGAATGTTGGGAACTCAGCTGGCCCCCGAGACGACTCCTTGGAGCCTGAATCCGGCCCACCCTCACGCACGTCGTGCCCCATGCACCCCAAAAGGTCTTGGATTTGCAGCCAAGACCAGCAGTTCCCCCAAGGGGCGCAACTCCGCCCCCAAGCCCCCAAGGAAACTTGCAACGATTGGTACCGACCCTTCTTGTGGTAGTACTCTCTACACCCACTGGCTGCAAGCTCTGCGTGCGAGCTTCCCCCTGGGGGGCCCGCCGTGACTCCCGCCCTGCGGGCCCACTTGCAGCACGAGAAACCGTCGGACGTCCGCACCCGAGTTGTCTGGGCAGCTTCTTCGGTCGTGCAGGGCGACCCCCGGGAGCCTCTCCAGGAGCCAAAGACTCAGTGGCAGTGTGTGGTTGTTCCCCCCTCCCGTTTTCCTCGATCACCCCACCCCGCCACACTCGCCCCAGCCTGGTCCTTCCTTGGGCCCCTCTCAGGACCCTCGGCGCCCTTTCTGAAGGTTCTCTGGGCCTCGTTGCGGCCGTGCTGGCAGCCTGTCGGGGCCCACCTCGGCTCCTGAAACAGTGGGGCGGCGGTGTCTGCACCCTCGGGGGCGTTTGATTGGATCACCGAGAACAGCGTCCGCACGGACTTCGTAGTTCGGCGCCAGGTCCCCCTCCTTGGCGCGTGGAGCGCGCCAGGGGCGGCTCGCTCGCCCCGTGGCGCCCCGTGGCGAGGGGAAACGCCTCCCGACCCAGACTGCGGAGATCGAGGCTGTCCCCGCGCCCACCTGCAGGTGACCTGCAGCCATCGTTTTTCTTCCCACGAGAAGCGCCAAATGAGAAACGACGGGACTTCTCTGGCCACAGACGCGTTCTCCGACTGAAGATCGAAAGACCCAGAAACCTGAACCCCTCCTGAGCCCGAAGTGGTCCTTATCTCAGCGTCTTGCCCGCACCGGAGAACAACTATATAAGCATAAACTTTCGATGGTACGCGCACTTTTCTTGGGTGGGCGCCAGAGGCGCCTCCAGGCGGGGCCCCAGCGCCGACCGGAGAGATCCGCGCGGACGTCCGAAAGTTTGTATGATTACGTGCCGTCGTTGTGCTACCGTATGTAACGCTGAGCAGGAACGCAGGGGCCCTCCTGGCCACCCCGAGCCTGGGCCAAACACAGGCCCCCCGACCGCCCATCTGAGGAACGCCTCGAGAACCAGAGCCCCTCCCGAACCCGAAGTGGTCCATACTTTCGCGTCTTGACTGTATGCCGTTGCGCTGTCTTCTTTTTTGTCCAAGCGGGGCCCCGAGGAATCAAAGACCTCTCCCCAGGGCTGGTGCTCGTTTCATGCCGGGCCGTCGTTTGACGGTCTAGGGGCCTGACGGGGGCCCGCGGAAGCCGAGAACGACGAGCACCTTTTCCTTGATTCTGTGCAAGGCGTTGGATGCCCGGGTGCGCACAGTCGGACCTAGGACAGAAAAAACATCCACCAAAAGCAAGAAACACTCCGCCGGCCCAAACGGAAGAACCTTCGAGGGTGATCTCCCCCAGGATGCACCAGAGCATCCGAGAAGACACGAAGAACCTCAGGGTAACCTCCCCGAGCCGACTTCGATCTGACATCTCGGTCCGAGCATATGCCATTCCTTGCCCCTCGACTCGCGCCACCCGCGGGTGACCCAGACAGGTAGGGGTAACATCGGCCTGGAATCGGCGACACATCGCAGCTAGATCGGCAACATAGGCCCCCGGCAGCACATGCGCAAGGTCCTTGGCGGGGCTGGCGATGGGGCCCCTCTTGGCGATGAATGGGCGATCAATGGGACGCACAGGGACATACTAATACTATATGTCCTCCTTGGAGGCGCGCGTCCGACCCGAACATATAGTATAATTACCCATCTTGTAATAGATCGTTTCCCGAGCGGTGCGGCCAGAAAGCGCCCGCCACGACGCATATACTATAAGATTTCTCGGTGCGCGCGTCGCCCCTGGGGGGGCGACGCACACATAGTATAAGTATGTTGGGGTGACGCCGAATCAAGGGTCGATGCAACCTCCCCTGAGCCCCCCCCCCCCCCATGGCTGCCCACCAGGGTGGACCGGACGGCTTCGAACCTCCTGGGCTCCTTCATGGACGGGTTGCGCGCCATGCCCACCACCAGCGCGGCGAAGAGCTGCCCGATGCCCTGGGCACAGGACGCGCGGAGAGCGCCCACGATCTGTCCCAGATTCCCCAGGAGACCTCCAACAGTGCCTACACATATACACGTCGTTCATTTCTAATCGTGCCCATTTCCAATTGTGCTCGTTTCTAATGGTTCCTGGCCCCCTAGTGGCCAGGAAGAGGCCCAGGATAGAACAACTAGAAATGAAAGGATCTTGGCCCCCCAAAAAAACAAACAACTTGCGAATACTCAGAAATGAACGATGTGTACTGGCTCACCTGGGCGAAGAAGAGGACCATCCAAAACTTCATGATCATACTCTTTCGGAGCTCCGCGCGGATTTCTAGGATCGGCGCTGGACCCCCCTGGCGGCGCAGGCCGAACATGGCCAGGGCGAGATTTACTTCGATTTACCTGGCTTGATCTCCGCAGTCTGATCGGAGGAGAGCCATCATTAAGCCCTGCAGCACCTGAGCGCAGCCGCCGACGGCGACCATGGCGATGGCGCAGCCTAGGACGGACACACCCGCGTGGCGCTTCTCGAGGGCGCCGGGGGCGAACTTCGCCATGGCCGAGATCTGCGGGCCTCAGGACGGTAAAAGCCGCCACTTGATACAGCAAAGAAAAGAAGCACCGTGCTCCCTGCCATAACGAACCCAGACATCCGTCTGGCGTCTCGAGCAAATCCAGCGGGAAATCCCACCAGACCTTTAGGGCATGAGTGGTTCAGGGCGTTTCCTCTTCCAGCCCCTCTTCTTCCCCTTCGGGGAGGGGGCGGCCCCTCCCCCTGGTTACCCCTTCGGGGATGAGTTTGCCCACGCTTCTGCCCCTGGACCTGGACGGGGCGCCGCGCGACCCATTGGAGCGTCCAAGAAGGCCTCGGCGAGAAGGCACAACTCACACATTCTACGGTGGCCTAGGGGACCATGTTGGCCTCCTGGGGGGGCGAGGCCCTCACTGAGCCCCCCCCTTCTTTGATCGATAGCCTCCCAGATGGCCCTAAGACGGCCACCAAGGCTCCCAAGATCGCCCCGAGAAGGCCACACGAGGTACCCAGGAGGCCTCAAGAGGTCCCGAGAGGTCCCCAAGAAGCTCCTCAAAGACCCCCAAGAGGCCCCAAGAGGCCCTCCTGAGGCACCCAAGACGCTCCAAGAGGTTCCCGAGGCCGCCAAGAGGCCCCCAAGACACCCCAAGAGGATTCCAAGAAGCTCTAAAGAGACATCCGACGAGACTCCGATAGGCATCCAAGAGGCCTCTGCACTTTCTGCCCGCACTCCTCCTCCTCCTCCTCCTCCTCCTCCTCATCCTCCTCCTCCTTCTCCTCATCTTCCTAATCCGCCTATTCCTCTTCCTTCCTCCCCCCACCCCCCTCTCCCGACTCCTCTTCCTCTAATTGCTCATTCATCCTCCCCCGACTCCTCCTCTCATAATTTCCTTGCCCTTTATTCCACTGCATGCTCCTTGACACCCCTGACCAGGACAACTCGACTGGGCGTAGTCTGGATGGGCTAGTGAGGTCACGCAAAGTGTCTAACATGTTCATCGCTGTCGAACTCTCTTAGCCCTTGCTGGGCCTCGGGGCCTCCAACATAAACGACGCGGGATGAAACTATGTCCTGGGGAAGAAATCGAGAGATCGCAGACCCGCTCCTCGACACACTTGGAGGCGCCGAACGTCTGGGAACGCCAACTCAGGAACGGAGGGGCTCATCTTGCGGCCACGGCGGGCCTCGGAAACGAACAAATTCCCCGATCTAGATCTAAAGGATGGCACGGAAACCAGGGCCCCCCCTGGGCCAGAAATGGTTATTCTTTCAGCGGATCGGATAAGGAACATTTATATAAGGAGCCACTGGGTTAAATAATCCAGGGTCTGGAAGCCCATGGAACACAAATGAAGACTCGGCCATGAGTACCACCGCCGCCCTCATCAGATAAGGGACCATCTCGGTTCTGAAGCCTCGAATTTCCCCACGGCATTTTAACAACACCCAGTCCTTCGCGTGTCCCATAGGTGGCGATATCCGAGCCCTACTCTCACCAACCATCGAATCTCCGGAATCGCTGGGAAGCGTGGGTAGGGTTCAGTTTCGCCACGTGTTCGACGAATCAAGAACCATGCCCCCGCCGCCCATCGAGTTGCCTGAATCGTTGATCGGCGAGGGTAGGGTTCGGATTTTGCCGCCGATCCCAGTTCTGTTCATGCTCACCGTCTGCATGGTAGACTGATTTTCCATGCCCTGAACTGGGCCAGGAAAGCCGACAAGCCTCCTCGCGTGGCTCACACGCTCGCTACTCTTTGGCAGGTCCGCGAGGACTTGTCGGGTCGGCACTGGACCTGAAGACGAGCCTAGGATAAGGCACCAAATCTAAACGGGATACATCGGGGAATCGAGAATATATCGGCCTCCTCGCTTGGCTCCCTCGCTCGCTGGCTTTCGCAGCTCCGCGCAGATTTGTCTGGTCGGCGCTGGGCCCCCCCCTTCCTGGCGCGCGGAGCGCGCCAATGGCGACATCCAAGAAATCCGCGCAGACCTCAGAGAACTTGTGTATTCTCAATGCTGTCTTTAGGGCGGGCTTCTCGGGCTCAACTGGCTCACTCGGTTTTCGATGGTGTTCATCATCGTCATCATCGTCACCATCATCATCAACAGCATCATCATCGTCATCGCCAGCGTCATCATCATCATCACCTGGTCGTCTTCTTCATCGTGATCATCGTCCTCGCCACCTCATCTTTATCGTCGTCGTCATCACCGTCACGATCATCATCATCCTCGTCGGCGTCGTCCTCCAGGATCGCCAGAGAACCGCCGACCTTCGGCGGAGGGCGGAGATGCGACCTACGCTTCCAGGAAGTGGGCCGCAGCAGCAGTCTGGGGCAGGGCTGTTCGGCGCGCAGGGTTGGAGGGCCGCGCTGCGGGCAGCGCGGCTGAGAATAGGTCTCAGTCCCTGCTTCGCGGCGCATCGGCAGCCGCGGCCCCAGAAGGCGCTGCCGCGGCTCCGCGGGGGGAAGGCACTTTTTTCAACTGATCGCGATCATCGAGAGTCGAGCTCTGGGCCAAGAGCGGGCTGGACTGTTGCAGTATGACGCGGTGCCGACATTCGAAAGTCGAGCTCGACGATGAGGGCTGGAGGAGGCAGGAGCAGACGGGGGAGGACGGGGGGAAGCAGATGGCAATATTTTTTCAACCGGTCGACATCGAGAGTCGAGCTCCCGGTCAAGAGTATAGTATCTCTCTCGCCGCCCGCGATGGCTGGTCGGGCGCGGCACTGCGGGGCGTTGGGGCGGCTGTCCTGCGGCCACTTATAGGCGTTGGCGCGATGTCCTGCGGCGCGCTGGTCAGCCTCACTTCGTCGAGCACATCCGTGAGGTCAGGGAGCGCCGCGGGGGCGTTGGCCAAGTGCTCGGCCACAACGTGGTTCACGACGTCGAAGAACTCGACAGGGCCAGGCGCGGCGTCGATCCTCCGCGCCCTGAACTCCCGAAACACGTCGGAGCGGGTCATCACGGCGATCAGCAGGTCGCGTTTTCCTTCGGGCTGCTGCTTGAGGTACTCGTTGGAGAATGTGTGATCGCAGCGCTCGCGGCGGTGCACGTTGCGATGCAGGGCAGCGAGGGTTCCCACGTAGAAGGACCCAGGCTTTTGCTCGAGGTTGAATTGTTGCTTGTCTTCATTCTCCACTTCCAAAGTGCGTGTCCCCCACAGGGTGACGGCCGCATGCAGCAGCGAGCAGCCACCGTCTGTGTGCCATCCACCGTCTCGCGCGCCTGGTGCCATGAGCTGGATCGACGCGTGCGCGAAAGCGTTGTCGGCGAAGTCCTCTTCCACGATGGGCTTCCCGTTCAGCTTGACGAGGTCTTCTGGCATGTTGTCGAGGGCGACCGCCGAGCGCAATTGGTCTCCCAGCTGTTGCAGCCAAGGGCGCCACTTTTTCTTCAGCGCTCGCACGACTGCGGCCGAGCGCTCGGACGGGATTATCTGCAACTTCTTGTCCCTGTTCAGGCTGCGGCGCATCGGGGGGTCCTTTTCTCGCCCACGATGCCTGGGATCTCGGTTTTTTTTCAATCCTTTTTCGCCTCATCCCCTCGAACGCATCAGGAGTGGGTTGCTCCCGTGTCCACGCGCTCCTTGGCCATGCCGCCCCAGCAAGGGTCGTCTTGCAAAAAGTGCAGCAAGTCTGGGTCGAGGTCTGTCTCCGCTATCGTTCCGGTGCCAGTCTTGCCCCGCTCCATGTTCACGGTGATCTGCAGCTTGCCAGGCGGCTGCGTGAAGCCAGACAGCCTTGCCCGTGTGAGGGTCAGTCTGTGGCCTGGCTGCCACTTCAAACAGTCCTTGATGATGGACATGAGGCCTGCGGGGCAGCCTTGGAAGCCTGCCGATGCATGGAAGCCTTCGTAGCGTTTCGGGTCGCTCTTCTCTTTCGCTGTTTCAGCCGCTATCCAGGCCGCACCCTTCTGACCGAACCATCTCTCAAAGAAAGGGAAGGAATCCAGAAACGAGGCTGCGGTCTCGACGCCAGGCACATCGCTGCTGAGTGGAAACCCCATCGATGCCGAGTGGAAGTCTCCCGCAGCCTCCTGGCCAGGCAGCCCCGCGCCCTGCCTGATGGCATCGATGAATTCTTTACCGGCGACCTCCTTTCGCCGCTCACGCGGGTCTTCTTCAGCTGACGCGCAGATCAACGGCCAGCGCGAGTACAACTCCGCGGCCACGCACCCGAGGGGCCACATGTCCAAGTCTTCCAGGAAGCGCAGGTTCCCCAAGAAGACATCTGGCGGCCTGTACTCGGGCGTGGTTACACCGACGTCGGCGTTGCTGTCGCTGGGGCGCAGCTTCTTCACCAACCTGCGGCGGGGGTCCGTCGGCCCCACGCGGCCGAGATCGCCGAGCACCACCGGCGGAGAGAGGCGGACGGAGGAGAGGGGGGCGACGGCGACCTCCAGGGGGGAGGGAAGAGAGTTGCGACAGGACGACAGCCTCATGGGGGAAGGGTAGACACCGCCCTGAGTAGAACTGAGATGTGAGTTCAAACATGCGATGCCAGAGCTCAATTTCTGACCTAACATGCTCCGTATAGCTATGTTAGATCACAAATGTGACCTAACATGCTAAGTTAGATCACAATTTGTGCTCTAACATGCTGCGTTAGATCACAGATGTTATCGGACAGGCCATGATATTTCACACTTTGTGGTCTAACATGCTCTGTTATATCACAAATGTGATCTAACATGCCATGTTAGATCACGCTTTGTGATCTAGCATGCTATGTTAGATCGCAGATGTGATCTAACATGTCATGTTAGATCACACTTTGTGATCCAACATGCTCTGTTAGATCACACATGTGATATAACATGCCATGTTAGATCACACTTTATGATCTAACATGCCATGTTAGATCACACTTTGTGATCTAACATGTCTTGTTTGATCAAAAATTGTGCTCGAGCGTGCTATGTTATATCGAACCTGTGATCTAACATGCTATGTGAAATCACAAGTTGTGCTCTAACATGCTATGTTAGGGCTGAATTGCTGCTCTAACATGCGATGTAAGAGCTCATATTGTGCTCTAGCG